TTTATGGTCTCCGAGAGTTGCCTCAGGAGCCCCGAATCTCTTTCTTCCCCTTGATGTGGGGGTCTGTAGCAGACCCCTACCACCAAATCCCTTTCTCCTTGCCCCCCATGTAGCCTAACCTACAATCCTTCTACCTCCTCATCCTTGGATTCTGTTTTGATGAGGGTTGACGTATATCGCTCACTGACATAGAGCGCAACCCCTCCCCCTTTCTTCCCCACCCTGTCCTTTCTGTACAATCTATAGCCCTCAATATGTACTGCCCAGTCGTGGGATGAATCCCACCAGGTTTCCGTTAGCCCACCATCCTGGCCACCATGTGGCCACCATCCTGGTGACAGACAGTAGGCAGCCTCCCCAGACCAGTAAGTGTTCTGGTCCCTGCCCAGGACTCTCTTGCTTCCAAGGTACACCCACAGGGTGGCACGTAGAAGCTTGACACACAGTTATTAAGCACTCTGAAGATGCAGCCACTGGAATCTATGAGTCCCAGAATGTACTAGGACAGGGCTGCTTGACTTCTAGCCCACAGAGCCTTGGAATCCATCCTGGACCCTGCATCAGGAAGGCACAAGGAAGGCCAAAATCTACAGTCCCTGAGTATACATTGGCACACTAAAAATGAGATTGGCTGTAGTTTATGAATGTGTGCCCTCAGTCTGCTACAAAAGCCCACACAGCCCGGGGGCAGTGCAGGGTTGAGAGTGGCATGCCATTCCCCAAAGGACTAGCACTAGAGATAGACAGCCATTTCCTCCTTCTGCTGCACTGGGTGTGTCACAGAGCTTCCCCCACTGCAATCAAGGCAAAAGGAAGGTTGGGAGAATATATACTCACAGGGGTCCTGGGCACGGCCATCAAACTGCCCCTACAAGAGAGAAAGGAACAGATGCTAAGTGCTGAGACCACTGCACTGCCTGCCCTAATACACCTGGAAGTCCAAGACTCATGGACAGGGCCGCAGACAGCCGCCCAGCAGGGAGCTGGGCAGAAACGTTGCCTTTGGTAGTGTTAGATTAGTCTCAGCCTTTCTCAGCACGGGGAGCTGTAGATAATGGGGCAGGAGCGCTGGCTCTTCCATTGCATTAGCAGGGAGTCTCAGCAAATATAGGGCTGGATCGGCAGGGACAGCAGCAGTTGCTGCCTGCCCTCAGGATGGGTAGAGGGTGAGATAGTAATGGTGCCCAGCCAAAGCACAGCATAAGACACAGTGCTCTAGAGGTGGCCGCCTTGGCAGGGTTTGTGGTTGTCTGTGTGATGGGGCATAATCAGCCATACCAAGCTCAGGATGCTGGAAGAATCCATCTCCTTGCTCAGATCATGCAGGGCCCCTTTCTCTCTGTTCACAGAGTCTGTGTGGGGCAGGGATCTAAAGGGAGCAAGAGGTAATTAGCAGAGGGTCCCACAGGCAAGGCACACACTGTAGTCAAATGTGCTCTTTTCCACCCAACAGCTGCTACCCTGCTGTTCATCTGCAGGGGAAGCCACTCTCTTCATGCAGTTAAGGTGCCCAGGACTGGCACTGGGTGCACTCTATCACTGGAGATCCTGGTCACTGAGTACTGCTTTTAAAGGCATGTCAATCCCTCCTCAAACCAACGGGCTGACAAGTGAGTGCAATGGAGTCGGTCAGACCCAGGGCCCAAGGGTAAAGCTGGTGGGAAAGTTTCTGTGGGACCATAGTGTGCAGGGATGGGCATGAGACGAGGGGTGCACAGCCATGGGAAAGGACAGTGGAGCAGTAGCACCACACAGGAGGATGCATGTCCACATGACCTAGGGACCACCACAAGGGTAAGTGTCACCCCAGGAGAACTGGGCTCAGATCCTAGTGCTAAGCACCCTGCTGCAGTGAGGGCAGCCAGGCGGCCAGTGTGCACAGGCTGCCAGGCCTTGCTCTCAGCTCTCCAGCAGTCAGAACAACCCTGGCACTGCAGGTGGTATCAATGGTGATTCAGAGCCATGTGCACATCCTCCTGGATCATCAAGTCTGGCCCAGACTAGCCCAGCTGGGAACTTTCAACCTAAGGGGCAAACAAGGCAGCATAGCAACCCAATGCAGGAGGTGAAACCCAAACACGGAGTCAAGCACGTCAGACCCAGCCCCTGCCCTGGGACTGCTGAAGATAGTTGCCTGCACTCAGCTCTGATGCTTGGCCCATGCACAGCTGCAGGTTGTGCCAGTGCCGGACCAGAATGCAGAGGAAAGGCATCTCTCACTTACCTGTCCTGCAGAAGCAGCTGGGCTGGTTTTCTGGGGATGGACCTGCATTGAGGAGCACAGGGAATCTGTGAGGACATGGGGTGGGGGCAGAGGGAAGAGGAGTTGGGGGAAGAAGCTTGGATCTCCTTCTAAGTTTTCCTCCTGCTGCTCCAGAAATGTGGGAGCAGAATTGCAGGATGTGGGGAGCATAGGCTGGCTGTTGTCTCTGGCAGATAGAGCTGTACTACAGCACTGCTATTTTGGAACAGCAGAGGCTCCTGCTGGCCATGCCTGGGGCAGGTCAGGCCAGCAGGCTTCTGACCACAGCAAGGCACTGTTCTCAGTCCCTACTCACCGGCACAGGAGTCCCCAGGCCATCCATCCAAGGGCTGCCAGAAGAAGAATGCTGGAGGTGGTCAGCACCACCATAAACCAGGGTGTGGGCTCCCAGAAGTAGTCTGTCCGGGTGATTACTAGTGGTTCTGTCCTTGGTGTCTGCAAGAGAGAAACTTGATACCAATGCCTGGGCAAACCAAGGCTTGGGTGTGTTGCCAGAGATACCTCCTGGTGGGTAGCACAAGGCACTGGCAAACCAGGGTGCAGGTTGCTGTATCCACCTCGCTTTGCCCTAGTTTCCCTGATAGAAAATGGGGACAAGTGCCAGTTTGCAACCAGTGGACGCTCTATGACTCCTTTCAGCTGAGGGAAGCCTCGTCTGAGCCAGTCCTTGCCCACACTATAATTCTCAGCCTGGTGTTCAGTGAAACCCAGTGGTCCATAATCTAAAAGCCCCCACAGAGGAAGAATAGTGTGGGGTGGCAGCAGCCAAGCTGCCCACAGAAGCAAAGCATGGGCTGGATGTCCAGCCAAAAGTGAGACCTTTTCACAGTCTCACTATCTGACACTGAAGTTATAGGCCAATTCTTGCCCAGCCACCAAAGCCAGAACCCACACCCAGGAAGATGAGGTAGTCAGAGAAGCCCTCTAGAGATCGAGTAGGGATGCAAAGGTAGGAGACCTAGGGACAGCTGATTCTGTAGAGTTGGAGTTGCAGGACACTAAAAGGAAAGGAAGCCTAGGGAGCTATGAGACATGATGGAGGGTTATAAGAGAGCTGTCATGGGGCAGCTGGGCTGTTGATAGCAGTAACCATGGTACAAGAGATTGGAGGCGTAGGCTGCCCTCTATGACAGACACTCCCACCGTGAGCCAGGTGCTAGTGGTGGGCACAGTTGTGGCCCAGGGAATCACATGCACAATCACTGTGGCAGTCGTGCTGTGGTGCGGCGGGCTGCAGCTGTCCAACACTTCCACCAGAAGCTCAAAGGTTAAGGGGTCGAAGATCCCATCAGGGTCGTAAGAGAAGCGGTTGTGGTAAAGGGTGTTCCCACGCAAATGGAATCGTTCATTGATGTTGCCTGAGGAAGGAAAGCCCTGTTTAGACCAATCTCCTTTGTACCAGGGCAGCTTGGTGAGAGGCTGCAGTAGGGTGGGCTTGAACCCAGCACCTTCTCACTTTGCCAGGCTGGGCTAGTGTTCCTATACGCCCAATGGGGACACCATCCCCATGGCTGGACTAGTCCCCCTAGGCTGAGCCCAGCACCCTGCTCACCTCCGACAATGGTGTAACACAAGGGCAGCACAGTGCTCCTGTCATAGTCCGAGCACTCCAGATATGTGACAGGCTGACTGGGGGCCAGTGTGGAGTATATGGAGAGCTCCTTAATCATGGGTTGGCAGATTGGGGGTTGGTCATTAACATCCTGACAAACACAGAAATGTGAGAGTGAGTCCCTGGCTGGTAGCTCAGCACCCCTATCCCATGGCTGTGCTGGTCAGCCCTCCCTGGGGCACTGACACCATTTGCCTTGCTGCAGTGCTTCATGCTGGATGGAGTCAACAGGATTCTCCACATAGGAAAGTCCCTATTGCAGGGCCAATGCTAAGTTTCAACCACTGTACCTTGGTGAGTTCCAACACTCCCCTCCTTCTGCAAGTAATTCTGCAAAAATCTCAGTGCAGCCTCATGGTCCATGACAATGAATCCCACATCCTCATTGCCTTCTGCTACTAGACCAAAGTGGTTCTGCATGTATCATAGATCATGCACTGCGCTGGCAATTACCATGGGCTCCCCATTGGTTCCAGCAGCATGAGTCTCTACTCCAGAGAGAAGTGCGGTAGGGGGCATTCTATTGATGCTAGCATTGGATGAGGCTGGGCATGCTGTGTAGCATCCTACAGCATCCCAGCTGGAAGGCACAGGATGGTTAGAAGCATATGCCTATAGACTCTAAATTACAGCCACATAAAAACCACAACCTAGCCATATACTGCACTGGGCAGCTGAAGCTGTTTGGACCTCTGGAGCCACCAGCTACTTCAGGCTAACTGCCACATGCCACACTGGGCCAGGAGCCCAGCTGATCCAAGAAATTTCAGATAAACTGCATAAGAAGGAGTTTGTTGAGGCCACAGAGAAGAATTCAGTGGTTCTGCAGGGTAATTCCAGGACCCCAGACCATTTTCATATAGCAGCTAGCCTTGTCCTGGTGCTTGAGAATCAGATTGTAAGGAGGAGCTGGCCTGTCCCATATGATTTAGAGGCTGGAAGGTACATGAACAAAGTGGGGCCACAGGGAGCTGAGGGAGTGTCTCATATGAAAGCAGAAGGCAAACTATAGGTAGCCAGGCAGCTACTGACTGCATTTCCTCATTTCAGGAGCCCCAAATTGTGCCCTATCAGCTATATTTGCAAATGTGTTGCACATGCATAGGCACAGCTAAAATCCATGGGAGCTTGAGCTAGCCAACCCTTTTGGCAAGCCAGCTACTTCATGCCTCAAATCCAGTCATCCTGGGCACTGAACAAGGCCAGGCTGGAGGCAGGAAGAGCCCAGGCAGCAATTCAGGGAGCTCTCTCTCCCCAGCAGCATGCTCTCCATAGCCACCATTGGTGTCTTGGGAGCTCTGTGCTATACCTGAATGCCTTAAGAGACAGAGGCCACAAGTGGGCTGGAGACTTCAGTTCCATTTCAGCAGAGCCCATGGCTGAATCTCTCCAAGTTGCCTGCCCTCAGTGCCTGGCTGCATCTGGCACACCACACATCCAGCACCCTGAGCTTAATGAAAGGTTCTTCGTCTCTCCCAGCCCAGCCCTGGCCATGCCCACCCATAGTGCAGACAGAGGTTGATGGGCACTGCTAGGCTAGTAGCATCACCTGCACATTGATGGTGATACTGCAGGACACACTCAGTTGGAACTTCGGGTCCACGTCATTGTGCACATCCTGCAGCTGCACAATTAGCTGGTAGGTCGCCTGTCTCTCATAGTCCAGTGGTCTGAGTACATTAATCGTTCCTGCCATAGCGATGAAAAACAATATTGTATATGCTGCTTCTTGCCCCTGACTACTCTAGATCCTACCCATCGAAAGTCCTCAGGCTCAGAAATTTGGGGCTCAGGTTGGAACTAGGTGGAAAGAGGATCATTGTGGAGGGGGTAAGGGAATAAAAGAGCCAGGATTAGGTGAAGAAAGGGCCCCTCAGTTGGTAGAGAGTGGGAAATGTCCTGACTGGCTCTGTGCCATCTCCTTGGGGGATATGGTGCAGGGTGCTCTGACTGTTCCCTCTGTGGGGTACAGGCTAGGGTGCTCTGAATGGGTTCCAGGAGGCCCCAATGGGGATGTGTTGTGGAATTGTTCTGACAGGCCCCAAACTGGGTCAGAGTGGGTGAGGGGAGCTCTGACAGGCCCTGTAGGATTTCTGTGGGAAGTACAGAAAGGGGAGTGCTCTGACTGGCCCCAGCTACCTAGTACACAAGTATACCAGGGTGCCTCACCACTGCGTGGACCAATGTAGAAATCAGGAAGGCTGCCACCTGCACCTCCAACGAGGCTGTATATGATGCTGTTGAAGGGATAGTCCCAGTCGGTACCATTTACAAAACCAATGATGTAACCAAATGCAGCATCCTCTCTCACGCTGAATGTAGAGTGCACTGGACATGCAGGAGGGTACTCGTTCACAGGGGTCACTGTCACCAGCACAGACACACTGGCTGCACGACACAAAGACCAGAGCAGTTCAGCCAGGTTGGGCCATGCAGAACCTAGACCCAGATCCCACATTTATGGGGTAATGGGGGAGGGACTGACTTACCAGCATTTGGGATTTCTCGGGTAGTGAGTTGGGACTAAGTCTCCAGGGCTGCTATTATGGGGACAATTCTCCTGGGGTTTGGTCTCTAAGAGAATGGGAAGTTCTTTTGCCTTTACCCAAGTCTCCTGAACAGCTGACCACAACTGGAGACCACAAAACCCTAGTACAGTGGTGCTCAATCTTTTTTGGCTGGTGAGCCAGATGGGCAGTACCCAGTCTGTCCACAGGCTGGATCTGGCCAGTGGTCCTGATGTGGCACCAGGGACAGTCACAGAGGCACCTCATCTGGCCATGCAGAGGAAGGGGGGACTTGACAGAGTCCCCAACCTGGCCCTGGAAGGGGGCATGGCCCAGCACTGATCCAGCTGAAGGGGGCAGGGTACATGACAAAACCCCAATCCAGCTGTGAGAAGGGAGGGGGAGAGGAGGGGGCATGGTCCAGGCCCAATTCAGACAAAGGGATGGAGCATGGCATGGCCCCAATCCAGCTGGGGAGAAGTGTGACCCAGCCCCACCCTGCTGCACAGAGTCTGGGGGTTGCAGTCTGTGGAATTTGGCAGGAGGAAGGATGTCAGTATTGGCTGCTGCTGCTCCCCCCCGTCACCAAATTTCCTAACCCATGGGGAGCCCTGTGGGATGGATTCCAAGGCTCTGTGGGCTACAAGTTAAGCAGCCCTTTCTTAGTACATTCTGGGACTCAGATTCCAGTGGCTGCATCTTCAGAGTGCTTAATAACTGTGTGTCAAGCTCCTACATGCCACCCTGTGAGTGTACCTTGGGAGCAAGAGAGTCCTGGGCAGGGACCAGAACACTTACTGGTCTGGGGAGGCTGCCTACTGTCTGTCACCAGGATAGTGGCCACATACTGGAAGCCAGCAGCAGCAATGGATTCACTGTCATAGTCCAGGGTGGTGTTGACCTGTAAAATCCCAAATGGTGCGGGGGGGGGAGGGGTGTGTGTCAAAACCTGGCTCAAAAAGGGACATGGAGTTTTCATGGCACGACCCCAGGGATGCTCATGCAGTTGCTTGCTCACAGGAATGAGAGTCATACCCCGGACACATAGAGCCTACCTGTGCTTGGGGACACCCTGGCCACACAGTACCCACCTGGGTTGTGGAATACAAACAGGAGCCCATCTGAGCCCTAGGATCCTACAAAGGCCCCAGCCAAATGGACTCTGTCTGTCCCAAATGATCAGTATGGGCTGGCCTGGAAGAGTTACAGGGAGTGTGAGCAAGGGGAAGATTTTCTGTGGAGTCACAGGCTGCCATCACCAATCTGAGAATGTGGAAGGAGTCCCACGTTTACTGAAGTCTGGCAGCTCCAGACAACAAGTGCCTTGCTGTGCTGCAGCCCCAGTTCCAGGACTGGCCAGCTTACAGCTGAGCTCCCTCCATTTGCTGGAGAGTGGCCTTAACCCTATCAGTCTAAAGCAGGGGTAGGCAACATTTCTGGGCAGAGTGCTGAAAAAACTCCAATGTCTACCTTGTAAGGTGCTGGAGTGCCAGCTTGCCAGAAAAACAAAACTGGGGCGGGGGTACATGGCAGGATGCACTGCATATTAATATAGTTAATAAACATAAATATTGGGGGGGGTTGGGTTTTTTTTGTTTTTGTTTTTTAAAGTAAATACCAGGTTTTCCAAGATTTCTAAACCTGGTGATAAATAAAACTTCATATACCACCTTTGTTGTTGTGTATTCTTTTTTCCTTAAGCATGTTGTGATGAGAGTGGAAAAAAAAAAAAAAAAAAAGAAAAAGAGAAAGAGGGCGTGTCCCTCGCCCTTCACATCTCCCACTGCTACCAGCTGCGGCTCAGGCCCGCTGATGCAGGGCAGTGTCCAGCAGAGGAAGGCAGGGACACCCCAGTAGCAGCCACCAGGGCTGGGGGTGCTCGGGCCCAGGGTTGGGAGGGAGGGCCTGGCTGGGGCTCGGGCAGACAGACGTCCTGTCCCACCCAGGCAGAGGCAGCACTGGGGTGTCAAGTGCCAGGGCTGAGTGCTCAGGGCAGAGTCCGGCCAGTGTGGGGAGAAGGAGGGGCCCTTAGGAAGGCGGCAGCTGGAAGACAGCAGGGCTGGGTGGGAAGTGCAGGCTGCCCTGGGGCTCTACAGACTCAGGCCCACTGACACCCGAGGTGGGGCCTGGCCCAGCCCGTGTAGCTCTGTGGGAATGGGCTGCAACCACCCTGCCTGTGAGGAGATGCTGCCTGGCTAGGGCAGAATGCCAAGCTCCAGGGGCTCCTGGTTCTGGGCTTGACCTCTCTGCACACCAGGCACATTGCGAGTGGGGCAGACATCCCCAGTGAGGGAGCTCAGCTGTGGAAGGCCTCCCTGGTCCCAGCATCAGCTGCCATGGGCAGCACTTAGGGCTGAGCCAGCCAGGAACCTCCAGCGCAGTGGCTCTTGGCAGCACCTGCCCAGGCCCTGGCTTCACCCACCTGCAGTTCCCCTCTGGGAGCCAGGCCGACCTGTGGCACGCAGCCCAGGGACAGGGGGTAGGGGTGGCAGAACACAGACAGCATCCCTGCCTGTGTTCTCCTGACTGCCCCTGGTGCATGCTGCAGTGCTGGGACCTGTGGCTGCTCTGGAGAGCCTGGAGCAGCAGCTTAAAAATAAATAAATAATTTTTTTTTTTTTTTTTTTAAACAATTTTCTTGCACACCTCCTGGCATGCCGGGGAAAATTTCTTATACTACTAATTGGCACGTGTGTGGGGGGTTGCCTATTCCCGGTCTAAGGTGTTCCCTATGAAGCCCTGTTAGCTGTGCAGTGACCAGCACTGGTACAGAGTTGCTATCTCAGCCTAGATGAGGCAGCTCACCTGCAGCTGGTGGCCCTGCATGCGGAATTTGTAGCGGGATCTCTGGTCACCTTCAACCTGGTAGTGCAGAGAGCTATTGCTGACATCAGGATCCGTACAGGTCAGAGTCATCAGAGTCCTGTCAATGGGAGTGGTCTCTGGCAATTGTGCCCTGGGGAGGTGAGAGGAGAGGAGAGTGCAGTGTATGTCAGACCCAGCTGAGAATGGTAGATGACCCGAATGGGCAAAACAAGTATCCACCGTGGGCCCTTTCCTCTATCCCTGTGCTCTGGGTTTGCTCCCCAAAGCTCATGGTGTACTGTGTGTAGCTTAACTGTGCCAGCTGCATGATGCCATTACTCACCTGTGGCCCCAAAACCACAGGTAGCTCTAGATTTCCCTGTGGCACAGGGTGCTCTGGCCACTTCATAGGCACAGACAGAGCAAGGGCACTACCCCTGACCCTTCAGGACATTTGTTGAAGAACTGGGGGTAGAATGCAGGAGTTCTGACTCACAGCCCCTACTCTGATCCACTGGAGCTCACTCCCCTCACAAAGTTTATACAGAACCCAGGAGTCCTGGCTCCCAGCTCTATCCCACTAGACTGTACTCCCCACCCAGAACCAAGGACAGAACCCAGAAGTCCTGGGTCCAGCCCTACTGCCTCATGCTGTTTGCAGGAAGCTGGCATATGGCAGCCCCACAGAGGCCTTGTCCCTCCCATCCCTTCCAGCCTTACACAAAAACATCAGGCGAGCAGTGGGGTGCCAGGACATTGGCCTTCAGCACAGTAATGTTGAGCATCATTGTGGCTCTGTCGCTGGGGTGCAGCATGTCATAGGCTTGCACTAGCAGCTGAGTGTGGGCTGCCTCTGGGAACTGCCCCAGGTCCACGTTGTAGGTGTTATGGATCTCACCTGTCCCTGCATAGGGGTGGACAAGAATCTCAGGGCATGGGGCATAAGGGGGCCCTGGGCACTGACAGGGACTGAGGGGAGGTGCTATTCCTGTGCAACCAGCCCTGAGTCCCCCACCACCAAGCTGTCCCTCATCACATTATGGGGGACAGCCCTAATGGGCACTTCCTTGAGTTTTCCCCAATTAGAGGGAAAAAACTCTGACACCCACCTCCCTGACTGCCCCCATCACATTAGAGGGGAAGAGTCCTGAGCTTCCCACTCCTAGATATGCTGTTATTGGAGGATGTCTCTGTCCTGTTCCCATACAGTATTGTGGGCCATGTACAGGCCTGGCTCACGTGGGTTGATAGTGTAGAGCCTATGAAAGGCTGGTGCAATGATCTCGTAGCGCACGTGGTCTCCACTGGCTGAGACTTGTGTGACCCTCTGCATGGGTCCTGTGTTCTCCTGCACCATCACAGCCTGCCATGGCACCCTGGAGCAATGGTAGAACAGTGGGTCAGTTCACCCCAGGGAAACCACCTCACACTTAGCTCTCCACAGCTGGGCACTCACTTGTTGTGGGCCCCAGCTTCAAGCCCTGACCCCAGGCACATGTGCCAGTGACTCTCTGGCAAATAGGAATGAGGAGACAATGCTGTCTTATGGTGCATGCTGCTCTGCTGTCCAGAGATGCTGTGCTGCCTGTGCATGGGGCAGCTTGCTTCTGCCATCCCAGATCAGCATCTCCAACCCACCATCCCTGCCCCTCACACCTCTCATTGTGCCCCATGCCCCTGTTCTCCACACCTCTGCCCCCACAACTCCTACCTATGCCTCTAACACATCCCTGTGCCTCACATCTCTAGACCCTAAATTCTCTGCTTATGCCTTCTACCTCAGCACTCCTGTTACGTATATCCACAGCCCCACCTCCTACCTTGCCAAATAATCCCTGTCACTTACGTGAAGTTGACGCGGGGCTGGTGAACATGCAGCACTTGCACCTTCAGGATCCCGCTGCAGTTCCTTCCTCTTCTGTCAGTCACCAATATCTGCAGTCTGAACTGGAGACATAGGATATAGTGAGAAGCCATGGTTGCCCACTGTGCTGTGTAGGCAGGTGTAAGGGGTGACATGCTCGGAAGGGGAGGGAAAGTCATGCCATTGGCATAGGCCACAGCACAGGCAGGGGTATTTAGGAGCAGCTCCAGATGAGCACCAAGAGGTAGAGGAAGCAAAGTCCTAGTGCTGAGGGAATGATAAGGACAGGGAGTGTTGTGAGGGGGAGCAAAGGATGTCCCAAGAGCACAGCTAGGAAGGTGGAGGGGTGTCCTGGGGAAGGGCTGGAATTGATAGAGAATGAAGGTTTCCATAGAGGGGTGAGAAATAGATGGGTTGCCTTGGTCTGGATGGGGAAAAAGAGGTGGTAGAGAGTGAAGGGTACCATGGAGTAGGTGAAAGTTGGTTGCAGGGGGCCCTAAGAGGAACAGGCCTTGGTACTCACCTGATTGTGATGTCTCAAGGAGAAGCCAGTTTCTGAGGCCAGCACCTGGCCACTGGAGCTGATACTGAACGGTGAGTTGTTGTCTTCAATGGTGAACTATGGGAGTGAAAGGGGTTCATCCAGAGTGATTAGGGACCTCATGCCTCCAGCCCCATTTGACAGAGACCTTTCTCCACAGTATTACAGACCCCAGAACAATGCCCATCACAGACCCTTTCATATCACTTTCCTGCCTGGAGACGAGTCCCTTCATAGTGCCTGCTGCCCTAGACTGTGAGCAGTTTTTCACTCCCTCCACCCTCTATTCTCCAAGTTTCAGGCTGTGCTGACCCTTTCTCCATTTCCTGGTGGCTCATGGTCTTATGGGACCTGGATTGGAGATAGAGTGGGGAAGGACACAGTTTAGCTGCTTTAGCAGGATTGGTTAGCAGCCATATTTAGAGTGGTTTCAGGAGCAAGCTCTGGGTGGGGCAGCACTGTCTTCAACCCCTATGCCCTGTGCCTCCCCAGGCCAAGTGCAACTAGCATTGCCAAGAGAAATAGGGTACTTGGGGATGCTATCACTCCATATTTCCACAAACTCTGTGGGTGTTAGTAGGAGAAAGCTTTTCTGGGCTTGGCAGGCTAGGTGCCCTAGAACCTCAGCAGTAAGAGGGCCAAGCCTAACTCCATGCTTAGCTTACCCTCAGCCCACTCACTGGGCGCTGCAGGATCACAGCGTAGATGGGTAACAGGGGAGCCACATTCTCTGGGACTTCCACCAGATCCCCATCTGCAGCAAAGAACGGAACACAGGTAAGCAGGGTGGGCTCAGAGGTTCTTTCAGGTGTCAAAAATTGGCCAAGCACTTGACCTGTGCTCCACAAGGTGGAACATGCTGTAGCCCAGATCACATCCATCACACAGGGCTGAGGGCCAACAGACTCCTGTTAACGCAAGAAATGCTCTACTGGCCCTGCCAGAATACCCTTATGCTAAACCATGCTGGTACTTCATACAGAAAAAACTTACCCCAGTGTCACGGCGGGGTCCTACAGGAGGGCTGTGATCTCCTTAAGGCCCCCTCTTCCGTGCCAAGTTGGCCCAAGGGCACCCTCTAATTCTCGCCCGCCACGTCTTTGATGTTAGATTAGGTTGGGAGGCTGCCTTACGTCTCCTTGGGCACGGCTAAGTGGGGCCTCTGTCCCCGTGGTTTCCCAGACTCTCCAGGGGTCTCCCTGTATGACGGGTGCTTCCCAGGCACCCTGGCCTTATGGGCTAAGTGTGGCTCCAACCACCCCTGAGACCATGCCCCAAGCTTTGCAGATGGGATAGACGTTGGTCTGTCTCTCTGTCTATATTCCTGCCCGTCTCTCAGGCCTTCTCTGTTGTGCTGCCCCCTCCTGGGCCCTCCGAGCCCACTCGAGGCCCTCCCTGTAATGTCGCCCCTCTCTCTGGGGACTTCTGCGCCCACTCTGGGACTTCCTGGTTGAGCCACCTGTCTCTCAGGCCCACCGCACTGCTACCCCCTTTCTCCAGGGCTCACCGCACCACTACCCCCTCTCGCCGGGGTTTACCGCAGTATTCTGCCTTCCACAGGGGCTCGCCACGTCCGCCCTGGGGCTTCTCAGTAGTACCCCTTCTCTGGGGCTTGCCACACCTGCACTGGGGCTTCTCAGAAGTGCAACCCCTCTTCTGGGGCTCGCCATGCCCAACTTGGGCTACTCAATATGGTCCCCTCTCTGGGACTCGCCATGCCCACGCCTGGGCTTCCCAAAAGTGCCCCTCTCCAGGGCTGGGGTCTATACACCCCATATGCTGTGCCCTTCTGGGCACCAGGGTCCTCATGCTCCGCTGTGAGGCCCCTTTGAGGATACTGCACCCTCACTGGTGCCGGGGTCCCCACACCACTGTGGGTTCCCCCCTGAGAATGCTGCACCCGCACTGGCACTGGGGCCCTCACACTCTGTTGTGAGTCCCTGATGAGGCCTCCTCCAACCCCTAATAGCCTCACCCTAGCCACCGGTGTAATACATAACAATACCAATGCAAAACACAAGCCCCTAGGCTGTAACACAAATTGGAGCCACCTGGCTATAACTTAACATCACCGCTCAAGCCTCCAGAGCTGCCATAAGCTGTACTTGTGATTCTCGCATCCTAACTCCAGGAACTCCTGTCCCTCTAGCTGCTGGCAGGGAACTGCTAGCCTGGCCTCAGCCCTGGGCTTTATGAGGGCC